CAGGCCGCCCACGAAGATCTTGGTGAACGTGGTGTCCTTCTGCGAGCCGTGCATGGCGCTGGAGGCGGCGGACGGCCGCGGGAACACGTTCGGGGCGCACGTGGGCTGCAGCAGCATGGGGGCCGCCGCTACCGAGCCGGCCGGCGCATGCGGGGGCGTCGCAGGCCAAATCCGAGTCTCCCACGCTGTCCCGGGCCAGTCGTCGGTCAGCCGCGTTGCTCCTACTCTGCGCCCCGCGGGCTGCCGGCCGCCTTTGTAGCCGGCCACGCCCAGCAGCCACGCCCATTGTTTCAGACACGCCCCCCGATAGCGGGGGGCGCCGGGAAATGTAGTCCCAGACACGCCCCACGTGCCTGAATACTCCTGTGTTCGCGAGTATCAATCACAACTGGTCTCGCTGGGCGCAAGGTCCGTTAGCTTCTATGCGCTGCTTGATTCAGTGGTTTACGCCGAAGAGACTAGGGGTGCAACGTACTTTTTAAAAGGTCCGAAGTAGTGGCTCAGCTGGTTATGTGCGAAACCTTATGTTTGATCTCAGCATCACATAAACCTGGCTGATGGCACACACCTGTAAACCCAGCACTTAGGAAGGGGAGGAAGGAGGGCTAGAAGTTCAAGGCCACCCTTTGTAGTAAGTTTGAGACCAGCTGGGCTAAATGAGACTATCTCAAAAAAAAAAAGTAAATGCAAAGTGTATTTTGCCATATATATAATATGTATATACATACATAATTCGCATCATAAATATTTTTGGAGACCTGGGGTGTCAGGCACTTTATGCTGGGGCTTCAACAGAAGCATACCCCTGGGACCCTCGGGCTTCTGTGGAAGCGAGGGCTAATTCACAATGACTGTATCTTTAACAGCCTGATGGAGGCTAAAAGCCACGAGGCCATGCGAAAGAGCACAGGCGGCTGGGCTTCTTTATCACTAGCATGGGGACTCTGGGGCCACCCTTTGCCGGAAAACAAACAGAGAGCACAGCATGCCATGTGTGGGAAGGGGCCCAAGGCTGGGGGACAAGATGCCAGCCTGCAGAAGTCTTCTGGCCCAGCACAAATGCAAACGCGGGCCCCTTGTTGAAGAGATGTAAATCTCGCTGTCATGGCACACTGATTTTAATGCTCAGGAGGTGGAGTTGAGAGGATTACAGGCTCATCCCCTGCTACACAGAAGGCCAGAAGCCAGCCTGTAAGACATAAATAACATCATATCTAAAAAGGAAATCAGGAATTTTAGCCCAGAAGAGGCTCGATGCCTCAGCGGCTGGGCCAGGAAGCAGCCCTCATCCAGAGGCCCCCAGGTCCTCATCTCTCGCTATCACATTGGAACCTGAGGACCTGCAACTTTTAGTGGGGTTACAACTGGCACAGCCCATGGTTAAGGGGGACAGAGAGTCAGATAGCCACCTGGTAAGCTCAGCCCCACCCGGTGCTTGCGCAGTTGGCTCCTTGCCCGTGAAACCAGGCCCCTTCACCCAGAGCAGACCCCCATGTCTGAGAGCCTGCTGGGGTTACCTCCTCGCAGCCTTCTTCCCACCTTTGCCCTCCTCGCTTCACATCTCCTTTGCTGTTCGGTTTGTTTTCCCCAAACACTAACCAACCTGGCCTCCTCCGGGTCTAAGGGTCTCCTGATACTGCTGAGTGAGCTCCCTGACAGCAGGGCTCTTGCTGGTTTTCCTCAAACTGTAGGGCTTGGCAAGGGAAGCCTGCCTTGGGCAATGTCTGTTGAGCGAATTCATGGTGGGTGTAAAGAGGGCTCCTGACCAAAAGACCCCTTAAGAAGCTACTTTTGAAAACCAGTTAAAGTATGTTCTTGGCATCCCTAGAGGGCCAAGACTGTCTGGCTCTGAAGTCTTGAGCCACATAGGTGCCTTCCTGGGGTCTCAGTTCCCCCTGGGTGGCACACTGCTGCTGGTGGCCAGGACGGTTGGCTTCAGGGCTTGCCGCCTACAAGTCCCAGCGCCGCCCCTGCCACCGACCAGCCCCGCCCCTCCGCTTCCCGAGGGCCCGCCCCAAGAAGCGCGCTGGGCGGACGCTGTAGGCACGTGCTGCTGCCTGGACAGCAGGAGGGGGAGGGGATCACAGAATGTGCGAGAGCACGGCACGGGCGTGACCCCCGGGGGCTGGCTGAGCCTCCTAGTCTGAAACTCTGGCTGTCGGAGGACGGTCCCGGCACCCAGCTCCTCCTAGCTCTTTGGATTTCTGCACCTGCCGTTGCACCTGTTCAGGGGCTCCACGTCCCACCGTCTGCTGCGCATCGATTTGCCTTGCTCTGAATACATGCGCCCAAACGGCTGCGACTCTGGGCCGGGGATGCCATCCGCTACTCTCCCACCCTCGAAGCAGGCAGCTGCAGCGAGTGAATGGTTTTGCATAGTAGGCATCTCCCTTAGGCACAGTTGCCCAGGCGGACACTGAGTGGTGTACAAAGGCAGGAAGGACCTAGCGCGGCAGTGACATCACATGGGGAGTAGGAAACGGCGGAGTGCAAAGGCCCAGACGTGACAGCTGCAGCTAATGTCAGTTAATGAATCCTCCCCTCTCGCCGCCTCTCACACAGGATCTCATTATGATGCCCAGGCCAACCTCTAACTTTTATCCTCCTGCCTCAGTCTTCCAAGTCCTGGAATTACAAGGGTTGGACCGCCATACTTGACTCAGGGGTATGTTTTGAGGGCTGGCAACGGCCTCCATGCATCACTAATCATGAAGTTCATTTGACCTTTGTGGTGCCTGCTAAGGCCCTCACTGGGGATTCCCCTAGATTAGGTGATTTAACAAAGAAGCAGCCATTCATGGGCACTTCACCACTATTCATAAACCTGATCTTCAGCTGGAGTGGACTGAGGCTCCTGAGCCAAGCCAATTCCAAGACCCCATGTCACTATAACCACCCCCAAATCTCATTCAGAAGAGGCCCTGGTCCCCTGCTCTGTGGGCTGAGAAGGTGGGATCGTCCCATTGTTGACATGGTCCAGGACCACACAGTCAGACTAGGCAGAGTCAGGATTAGGACTCAGGAGCAGGGGAACGCCCCCTGACACCTCATCCTCTGGGCTGGAGTGAGGTGCTGTTGGCCATAACCCAGCTAGTCTGTAACCTAGCTAATCAGCCATCAGTTGATTAAAGTTTATCTAAACCGGTGTCTGTAGATGAACCAGCAAGCACCTGACAAGCTCAGAGTTGAGCAGGCTTCAGGCTTGGGCTGCCCCATTACCCAGCTGGCAAGGCCAATTGTCAGCCTTGGTGGTGTAGACACAGACAGGCTGCCTAGCTGGCCCTGAGAAGGACAAGGGGTGGGGCTGGGTCAGTCCTCAGTAACCCTCCTGCCAGCCGGGGATAATTATAACTCTCACACAGTCAGCAGCTCCGGAGGCGGAGCCCTTGGCACAAGCCTGAAACTAACATCAGATCTTAGGACCCTGTGATGCTGTCATCGCTGGCCCCTGCATGGTGGAGAATCCCCAGTTTCAATGGGGGAAATCCTGCCCCAGGAGCCAGCAAAGGCTAGCAAAGGGCCGGAGATCCAGTGAGTGGTCCAAGTGACCAGCGGCCACACTACAAGTACGCAAGGGGCAGCATCTTGGAACTAGTCAGTTTTCTGAAGACCTTTCTGGACCCAGGGCTCAGTACGGTGACTCAGGGAGGTAAAGGTGCTTGTGCTTAAAGCCTAGAGACCTGAGTTCAATCCCCAGGACCCATATCAAGATGGAAGGAAAGAACTGACCCCCCCTGAAGTTGTTCTCTGACCTGTGCACACACACACACGCACACACACACACAGAGGCATGAATGCACACTCTGCTGCCACCACCACCACCAAACAACAAAACAATCCAAACGAACAGAATCCACTCGCTGCAGCAGAGACGGCTGGATGTGAACTCCGCTGCTCTTCAGGCTGGCCGGGGCATCATACACGACAGCAGGGAATACAGAAACCTATTGTGAAACCCGAGTAACTCTGGATCCCTGGGTGACTGATAGATAACACCTTAGCCCACAATCGTTTCCCCTCCCGCTCTGACAAGAGAGTGTGGGAAGAATGCAGTTGCTTCCCCCCCCCCCGCACACACCATGTCCTCATCTGAGCTAGGGAGTCCCCAGTGGAAGTCTGCGGGGCCTCTGTGCAGCTTCCCTCTTCCTGACTGACAAGATCAAGTACTAGGCAACACTAGACCTTGGCAACCATTTCTTCTTTTGTTTTTCATACCTTTTTGTTAAGGCAGGATTTCGTGTAGCCCAGGCTATCCTCAACTTTGCTATGTAGCCAAGGACGACCTTAACTCAATCATCCTCCTACCGACTACTAGGATTGCAGGAATGCACCGCCATGCTTGATTTATGGGGTGTTGGGGGACAAGCCCTGGGCTCTCTGCACAAAGGATAAGCATTCTGTCAACTGAACTATTCGTCAGTCCAACCTTAGCATTCTTTCTGTCCTGAGCATGTGTGAGATGTCCGGAAGACATCTTGTGAGCGTGAGGCAAAGTCAGAGAGACTCACGAGCGTACTGATAGAACTAAACACAGGACGTGTGGGGATGCCTGGAGAGGTCCTTTATAGTCACAACCTGCTGGGGGATGGGAGTGTACCTGGGGCAGAGGTCAGGGGTGCCGCTGCACCTGGGGTGGAGGCCAGGACACCCAGGGAGACCTGGTTCCTGCTCTTCTCCCAACCCTTCAGCTGCTATGGCACATGGGATCATCCAGGACTTTGATCTCAGCCCCATTTCTTGTACACTCAAGCCTTGAATGACTGGTTGGTTTTTATTTATTTATTTTTTCAAGACAGGGTTTTGTCTGTGTTGTCCTAGAACTTGCTCTGTTGACTAGGCTGGCCTCAAACTCAGAGATCCACCAGCCTCTGCCTCCCAAGTGCTGGGATTAAAGGTGCATACCACCATAGCCCAGCCTTTTTTTTTTTCTTGCGTAGGGCACAACAGTGACTTCTGCAGGTGGAAAAGGTAACAGGTTCCCGAGGATTCGAGTTAGAATAGCCCTAGCTGCACACCCCCTGCCCCAACCTCAGCTAAACGGGTCGCCGGAGTCCTGGGGTAAAATAACAACCTAGCACCTAACAGAGGATGCCTAGGAGGTTCAGAGCTTGGCCTTTCAGAAAGAGGCAGAGTCTAACCCCATCTGCCCTCTCATCTCAGGCAGGAACAGGGTACCCCTGCTGTTGGCCTGTTTCTCAGCTCTGATGGGCAGGGATGGGTCAGGCTTGCTCCCAGAGAGCTCCCAACTTGTTCTCAACTGCACAGGAGACCAATCCACTAAAGCACATTCTGCCAAGTAGTGTCCCCTCCCTGGTCCTCCTAGGCCTTGGAGCCCACGGCCATCTGCAAAGACTGGACGACTTTTCTCAGAGTCATGGCTTAAAGACAAACAAAATGCCTGTTTGCAAAGGAAACAATCATATTAAAAATACAGCTGTGACCCATCTTGGTCTACAAGACAGGTACCTATCTCAAAAAACAAAACAGAAATATATATATTTATCTCATAGGCAGATCTCTGTGAGTTCAAGGCCAGCCTAGTCTATAGAATGAGTTCCAGGAGAGCCATGGCTACATAGAAAACCCGTTTCAAAAAACAAAATCAAATTAAATTGAGTCATTATATTAATCTCACATTAATATTTTGGGTTAAGTTCATATTCCTACTTCACATTAGTATGAATGTTAACTTCATTACACAATGTGTGATGTAGGCATGTATGTTTTCACACTGGAGCATTATAATGGGGCCAACTGGAGGCTGCACAATGCTGCAGTGTGGAGGTTCAGTCACCAAGTCCAGCTGTTGGTGACAGCTGCACAGGGGCTTCCAAGGTACAGGTGCGGCTCAGAGTGCTGGGGCTATAGTAATACGCACACGATAATCCTGGGTCACTGGGCTCTGGCTGGGGAAGGCAAGGCCTTTCTCCCACCAGGTCCATGGGCCTGTGTGCAAGAAGCTCCTGTGGCTGCTGTTGCCAGTCGTCACACACCCAGGGACATAAAACATTACTGTTTATCCTCTCGCCATCCTGGAGGCTAAGGGTCTCCATGAAAAAGGCTGTGACACCTCCAGACAGAGCCCTCATTCCTTGACCAGCCAGCACCATCCTGGTGCTTCCCACAGGCTCCAGACCAATGTTCTCTTCTGGTTTCATGGCTTCTCATGGCCTCTGTTGGCTTTCTGATCCGACCCACTGTCTCCTGCTTTTGTGGGATAGAAGAGAGCTACGGAAGTCCCCCCAGTGCTGGGAAAGGTGACTGCTCTCCCAGAACACAGCATCGTACCTCAGCACTGAAGCAGGGGTGGTGCAGCTCACACAGCTTTACAGGGACCAACAAAAAAGTTGAAACAAACTGGGAAGTCAGCACTGATGCCTGATGGGATGGCTATTTCCTGAGGATCAGGGAAAGGGGAGAGGGATGAAGGGAATCAGTAGGTCATCTTCAAAATATTTTATTATAAAACACAATACAGGGCTCATCAACAGTTCACACCCAACATTGTCAAATACACGCTGCTGGACGACACGAAGTCCAATAAATGGGGCTGCAGTGAGAACCGCAGTTCCCTTAGAGTTACGGGGCACAGCAGAGAGCGGAATGGAGAGAAGGGAGGCCGCCAGATGCCGGGCTGACCGCTAAACAAGAACATCAGTCCTCCACGGTGGAGATCCACAGCCAGGATAGCTGGGCCGGGGCTCGGGCAGAGATGACGTGTTGTGGGCAGCAAACTCCAAGAGCCCCAGCTTCAAGCTACTACTTCTTGTTCCGTGGCTTTAGTTCTTCAGCCGCATTACGCAGGAAAATGTAATTTTTCTTTTGAGGATTATAAAACTCATGTCCCTAAAGAAGGAAAAAATCCCAAATGGCCTTAGTATTAAAGGTAACAAGGTATTAAACAAGCATTAGAGCAGAACCCACACCGAGCCCTGCTCTGAGAAGGCAGAGTTGAGTGAGA